ATTTACTTGGGAGTTTACTATGGTTTATTCACTATAAGCCCAACATCATTTACCTTTGCATTCTGGAGTCTTGGCTGTCCATTCACCAGAATCTGTGCACTTTATAGAGTCTTGACCAATCAAATCAAATTCGTGATCACAAGCAAAACGTACATGATCACGAACGTGGAAATGTTGTCCATCTGCATAGCCATTTTTGCGACTGTTTTTCTAACCATCTGGATTATTTAGATCACAGAACATGTGTCAATCCAGGCAGTCCAATTAATGGCTATGCAGATGGACAACATTTCCACGTTCGTGATCATGTACGTTTTGCTTGTGATCACGAATTTGATTTGATTGGTCAAGACTCTATAAAGTGCACAGATTCTGGTGAATGGACAGCCAAGACTCCAGAATGCAAAGGTAAATGATGTTGGGCTTATAGTGAATAAACCATAGTAAACTCCCAAGTAAATCTTATAGTTAATAAATTAATATCAAAGATTGCCAATTAACTGGTAAAACCATTATTGCGCCTTTCAGCAAAGTATGACTTTGACAATGAGGAGACAGTTTTAACCAATCTTGTCTGGGCAATCGATCACATGACCATTACTGCAAGATCTTCATCGACTGACATTACCAACGACCCTTCTCTGTGTGTTTACCTTGTTCTTGATGGATCTGGAAGTCTTGGCAGAGAAAATTTTAACAAAACGATTACATTTTCAAAAGAACTGGTTCGGAAGGTAATGAAATATTTTTTAAAGCACTTTTTCATGCTGATTGTTTTGAAAAATCATGCCAGATAAAACATAGTTTGAACTTGGTCATCAACTTATTCTGTTTCCACCAATATATATCATCATTATTATGTATTAGTAATATTATCATTATTATTACATATTATTTTTGTTTGATTTATTGGTTTTTAGACATAATTATGAGATAGGATTAATAGTCCAGTGGTGTTTGTATGTATAGTAATACATTAGATTTTTCTTCTTGTTTTTCTTCTTAGATTCAAGCTGGAAATTGTAGCGCTCGATTTGGCATTATTGTGTATTCCAATGTTGCAAATGTGATTCTCGATCCTCATCAATCTACAACTGACACTGATAGCATCATCGACCTGCTCCATAATGCCAGTTATCCAGGTGAGAATCAAATACCAGTAAACATAAACTCCTTCCTCATCCTTACCTTACCAACTTGCTTCGTGTCATGTGTCGCATAAGGTCTCCACGCATATTTCCTCATTCTTTATACCCAGCATATTCACTTATTTTTTTCATATTAGCACTTTTCGTCACTTCTTCGTTTGTCCTTCTGCAAACATTTGGGTAAATTTTGTGTTGATTACTACAACAGTAAACGGACAACATGATCTCTTGCTTTGAACTGTAGGGAAAACTTTGCTCTGAGGCAAAATATATATAGCTATATAATATATATATATATATATATTATATAGCTTATCAAATAGTGATTTGAAAGGTATGGGACCAGACTACCTCCAAATTTACATTGATATAACTGTTTTTTAAAAGCTCGTGGAACCTCAACAACAGCAGGCCTGCGTTCCGTTGTCGATATGATGAAAAAAGCAAAGAGCAATGGCACCAAAAAGGAGAAAGCAGTTGTTTTTATCATTGGCGAAGGTCAGTAAAACATATTTTATAGTAGTTCTATCTTTGTATTTTTACAAATTATTTTTCTATTAATTACTGCATCCAACAGTGTAAAAACATCAATGACAGGTTGTACCTACATACAGTAATTGTAAAATTCAGAAATTCAATATTATTTTTAGTTAATGTTAATACAATATTATAGCAAAATATAATAAATATTTATAATAATATCAAATATACTATTACTGCTACTTCTAATTCCTTGTTAATAAAAATAATTATAAATTTATATATTTTTATTTATTAAACTTCACAATGGCAATTAACCATAAAATACTTACAATAAGATAAAGTTGCCGGTGAAGGGAAAAGGCCAACAGACAAACAATATATCGACCTCTGATAGCGGCCAATCTTAGAATGCACATGTTACTAAAGAAAACAAGAATATAAACACAGCTATTACTATCATAGGTCAGTACAACACAGGAGGAAATCCGGTCAGTATTGCCAACATGTTGAAGCAGCTGGGAGCCGATATACATACGATAGGTGTTGGATATGAATCGAGCAGAAAACTCGTGTACAGAATGGCAAGCCACTCATCACACCAACAGGCATTTAGACTGGAGACTTTCGACAAGCTTGAAAACATTACCAAACATCTAGCATCCAAACAGAATGGTAAAAACATGGTGTTTATCTTGTTTAATTTTCTCTGGCTATTTAAGATATTGATCTTTTGTATTTTAAAATATATTGTAACTCTTGTGGTATAAACCACCTCTCTTAAACACAAAGTTGGGCCGATTTTTGGGGATGGATGGATTTATTTAGTGTAAACGCCAAGGATAACCCATGAAAGTCCTAAGACTTGTTTGTATATAGTGGGGGTCCATCTGGTGGTAAATTGGGCAGAAAATCCCCTACTCTTTGTGAAGAGTGTACTGCGTTCTTTAACGTGCACATGAGCAATTTTGCACACAGGACCAACAGCTCAAATGTTTCATCCGAAAGACGGTGCTCTTTTTGAGAAGTGCTGAAACACAAGGGGAGCAGTCATGGAAATTGAACGGTGGACCAAGAGATCGCAACGGTTCAGCGCACACACAGTGGCTACCACCAGTTTAGCCGACTGAGCTAGCTGCTCTTCAAATATTTGGGCCAATTTTTGGGGGTGGGCTAGTTATACGAGTGGAATTCCCTTTTCAATCAAAAGGCAATTTATCTGCAATGTGTGCCTAATTCAAAGCCATAAACAATGAATAAATATTTATGTGCAGATTACAGCAAATGCGGAGTTGCAGGAGAGACAAACCATGGGAATGGAAAGGTGGTGAACCCTGGAACATGGCCGTGGCAAGTTGCCTTCTTTGACAACACAAATGAAACACATGTAAGCAACAAAAAATTACTTTGCTTATTTTTTACAATTTCCTTATAATGTAAGTCTAAAATTGTTTACTAAATTCATAAGATTGTTAAATAATAATTATCAAACTACTTCAATTCATATGATACTGAAATAATAATTATCAACACTATTTAAAATTGATAATCATTGAACACATTAGGTATGGCAGACCATCATTCCTAACGCAAAACATCAAAATAGCACTTCAGTACCCACTGCTACTGGGGATCGGATTCAACACTAGACACTTAAACGCAAGATTGGTGGTCTAATGGTTATGACACCAGGCTATATATCTGAAGGTTGTAGGTGCGATTCCCATGTGCATCACATGCAAGATTTTTTTTTTAAGTAGTGTTTAACAACGTACCAAGTGTTTGTACGGCCTAGTTCAGACTAGGTGGATAAACCCGGCTCAACTCACCGGGTTTATCCACCTGCCAGTCTGAACTAGGTGGCTTATCTCAAGCCGGGCAGTGTTCCTATAGTAACTAGGCCTGGCATGCCACTGTGTTTAACTTTTCTAAGCTGGGCTTTAATCGTTGCGAGGGGTCTTTTATTGACTTCGGGTAACAAAATGACCAATCAGCATTCAAATACTTACGCTGTGAGCGTGCGTACGTTTTGCAAGCAATGTTTTGAAACACGTTTGCTGGTTACAATTCATTATTATGAAAATTCTCGCACCTGGCTAATCCCGCTAGTCTGAACGCTTGCCAAAGTTAAGAGGGGCTTAGCGTTGAGCCGGGCTTAACTCAAGTCTGACTTATATCCAAGTCTGAACGTAGCCTGAGATATTACATGTCAGGTAATTGCAGAACATCATTCCTCCAGCACATACTGTATAATTGAAAATAACATACAAAATTTCACATGGTAGTACATTTTAGTATTCACAGTCATGTTTTATGTAGCCCCAACCATGTTTGATTTTTGTCTTTCCCCAGACGGATATTGTTTGTGGGGGGTCACTGATTGCAGAAGACTGGGTGTTAACAGCTGCTCACTGCTTTACTAACAGAACTCTGGACAGTTTAATTGTTGGAGTGGGTAAGATATCTGCATTATTCTCATAAGCGTGAGATCATCTCCTCCAAGCCAACGGTCCACCGTGCTTAGTTTAATGAGTAGGATTTGCATGACTTTAGGGTTAGATTAGGAGAGACTTTTTTAATATCTTGTTACGCAAACTTATTTTTTAAAAGATTGTCGGAGGAGGACGGAAAAAACATTAAACTTAAATTTTGCTTCTTCATTTAGCAAAATGATTTTGGCAAATATCTAGATGGAGAAAATAAAAATAAAATTTTATTAATGAATTAAACAGTGTAGTAATGAAATTGATAAATGCTTTATATTTATATAATTAAGGAAGAAATATATATATTTTATTTTTGGAGATTTCAGGGGAGCTGAGGGCATAATAAAAATACACATAAAATTTTATTTTCATTATGAAATTTCCACTTTTTTGTGGCTAAAGGTGCGCTAATATTTTATTTTTATTCAAAATCACTTTCGAAAGGCTCGCTAAACAAGGTATAAGATGCCTCACCTTAAGTATTAATTTCTTGATAAAATATGAGATCACCACTGTGTGTGTGGTAAAAAAGAATGCCCAATCCACAGAGGCATATAGTCTCTGTACTCTTAATGAGCCATCTAGGTAAGGTCAAGAAAGTGAGAGTGGTTGACAACACCCTGAGAATTCCCTCACCCCACCCCCTCCCATTCACCACGCTTTTCATTTGTTCTACTGATTTTAGTTAATACATATATTTAAAGAAAGTATATAAAAAAACAAATGTATAAAATTCATTTAAAAATATTTCCTTACTGTTTATCATGCAGGTTTGACTCACCTTGATAATGACCGTCGAAGCCAAAGGTCAGATAGCTCTCGCATGGAAATAGTTTTAATTCATCCAGAATATAAGAATCAAAATGTAAATATTCATCAACACGGATCCAGGTCAGAACACAAAACGTCGAGTTTTGATTATGACACCTCCAACTTCCAACAAGATTTGTTCAATAGAAAACGCTACGATTATGACATCGCTCTTGTCAAGTTGGAGAAGAAAATAAAGTTCACGCCCTTTATACGACCTGTCTGCCTTCCCAGACTCAGTGAAGGTAATGTTTGAATTTATAATTCTACAAGATCATACATATTTTGATTATTTTACCATTTTATTTTTCACTTTACAAGGAAAATTATTTATGGAATGGTGATTATGATAATTTTATTTTTATTCAAAATCACTTTCGAAAGGCTCGCTAAACAAGGTATAAGATGCCTCACCTTAAGTATTAATATCTTGATAAAATATGAGATCACCACTGTGTGTGTGGTAAAAAAGAATGCCCAATCCACAGAGGCATATAATCTCTGTACTCTTAATGAGCCATCTAGGTAGAGGTCAAGAAAGTGAGAGTGGTTGACAACACCCTGAGAATTCCCTCACCCCACCCCCTCTTATTCACCACGCTTTTCATTTGTTCTACTGATTTTAGTTAATACATATATTTAAAGAAAATATATAAAAAAAAACAAATGTATAAAATTCATTAAAAATATTTCCTTCCTGTTTATCATGCAGGTTTGACTCACCTTGATAATGACCGTCGAAGCCAAAGGTCAGATAGCTCTCGCATGGAAACAGTTTTAATTCATCCAGAATATAAGAATCAAAATGTAAATATTCATCAACACGGATCCAGGTCAGAACACACAACGTCGAGTTTTGATTATGACACCTCCAACTTCCAACAAGATTTGTTCAATAGAAAACGTTACGATTATGACATCGCTCTTGTCAAGTTGGAGAAGAAAATAAAGTTCACGCCCTTTATACGACCTGTCTGCCTTCCCAGACTCAGTGAAGGTAATGTTTGAATTTATAATTCTACAAGATCATACATTACCATTTTATTTTTCACTTCACAACAAGGAAAATTATTTTTTGAATGGTGATTATGATAATATGATGCTCTGCAGTACAATACAATTTAGTTCCTCCCACTAATGTCAGATACTGTACATCCAACTGTTGAAGGAAGGAGGTGGCAAAATGGGGATCTGACCCCTCTCCCACCCCAGTAAAATCCACTAATCAAGTTTAGATAAGATATTAAAATGGTAAAATTGTGAAGCTTCCAAGAGAATGTCCCCTGGACCAGTGGTGGTGCCAGCGGGAGGCAGGGGGGCATTTGCCCTGATGTCGGACAAGTCTGGACCCCCTGTTGCCCGACGCTACGACTAGGTCGTTGGATCAAAAATTTAAAAAACAATAATTTTGCCTATCCAAATAACGTTAGTTTGATTGCTAATCCCTAATATATTGTGGTCTAAAAGCACAATTTGGACTTTACTAAGCAATTAAAACTCTCCCCGTGAACCCTTATAGGAATTTTGTATTCCAGGCTGTCGACTGAGGCTCTAGTCGGCCCCTTGGTTTGAACCCCACCGTCGGACATTTTGGACCCCCGTCAGCAAATTTCTGGCGCCACCGCTGCCCTAATCTCCGTACAATATGTAAGGGAATAACATAAACCCTTCTCTTGGACCTTAGGTTCCACCCCTTCGGTCCATATTACGTCCTCTATTGCCACTTCTGGATCACAATGATGATGGTACATGGTGGGTGTTGTAAGGTGGTACATTGAAATGACCATGGCAGTGATGCATTATAATATATAACTATATATAACATAACTCAGTCTCACTTACAATAACATGTAATGTTTTGTATTCACAGCTCTGTTACAAACATCTAGATATGAAAATGTGAAAGTCATTTTGAATAACACAGCAAAAGTTTTAGCATTCCTACCAGAACAAATAAATGGTAAGTTGGCATAAACACAAGTAAATCATTAATTTCGAGGAATAATTAATTCAGAGTAAAATAAATTGTATTCGGCTGGATTGTTTTGATCTTGCTCGATGAAAACACGAATTTCAGCACTAAATATGCAATTTAAAATAAGTACTAAATTTGCAAATTGTGTTTGACAATCTGCAATAATAATTATTTAGTTTAAAAATAGTGTTGAAATTTGCCAAGCAGTAATATTTATTTCTTGATTTTCCTAGTGCAGGTCTCCCTCCAACATAGGCTTAGCCAGCGAGTCATCCGGCCGTCTTTTGGGCGCCCAACAATTATTTAGGACGGCCACTTTTACCATGACGGCTTGGCCTAATCAGCTCGGCCCAGCCTAATTGGGCCTGATCTTAGTCTACCGTTAGCAAATTCTTTATATTCTTCAAATCTATCGAATGTTACATTAAACTAAAGCTCAATCATATTTATGTTTGATAAAAACAACATTCATTGATCGAATGTATGTTGTTTTCATACCAATATTCGGTGGGGATTCCCAAAAATTTAAGGCTTAACTATTGCCTACCTAGTGAAATGGACGATTCTGAATCGCCCACAACGCATGTACGTGGTCCTGCAAATACAATACTTGAGATTCGGTTCCCCGACATAGTATTGTTGGTGTTCATAACTCTGTGGTTATAATTAATTTATGAAATACCGTAAAGAAGATTTGTTGTTAACCTCACAAGTTAAATTTTATTATTCAACAAACTACAAAGGTTTAGGCCTATCTCTTGATTCGGAGGACCTAGTCTAGAGTAGAATTTACACTAAACTAAGGAAAGAGATGAAGATGCATCTGCATAGCCTAGAAATACCGTAGCCGTGCACAATCATACTGAAATATCTTAGTGATAGCTAATTCAACACTATTCCTTTGAAGACAAAATTCCAACATTTAAAGACCTTTAAATGCCCTCTAAAGATCATAATTTTCTATTTTTTTTTCATTATATATAATATAATTTAATTATATCTGGAATGGTTAACAAACCAATCAATTTATGTCGTTAGTTCCATTACAAAATGTATACATTAATAACTTGGACAGGTAGCATTAATTGCAATTTTTAAGATAATTCTATGACTAGAGAATTCCAAAGTTCATTCAGCCGTGTTGGACAAGAACGTTAATACTGTAGTAAAAAAAAAGTTTCAATTCATGTGAATCAGTCATAACAAACCTTCAAACAATATTTTGAGTCATATATTGTTATATTAATTTAATGCTTTGATCAAACTTTACAGGAGTTCCAGCCACAAAGAAAACATTAGTTACGGTAACAGGATGGGGAACAGATTTGCCACAGGGTCATCGAAGTTCAGACAGCGATCCTCTTGCCTTGCTACAGCAATCAGTTCGTGTACAGCCTAGACATAGGTGCAAAAGTGCTCTCAAACAATTCGCTAAGTTTACCCCCAGGTTATTCTGTGCTGGACCCCACACTGGTTTAGGTGACCAGGGCTGCAGGGTTGGATCTGGGTCCCCTGTCGTCGTGAGTGTACCAGAGAACGGGCACGGTGGAGCTCGCTGGGTTCAAGTGGGCGTACAAAGTTTGAATGATAATTGTCGTTTAAATTATGACAGATTTAGTTTTAATACGGATGTAACAATGATGATGCCGTGGATAAAGCGTATACTGTCACATTCGATTGAAGCATCAGATAATAACTTAGGTCCTAATACCACCACTAACAGTGTTAGATTACATGTACAATAATCATGGGTATATTGTCAATGGTTACCATATTTACTTAAAAAAAACACTAATATAAACGCTCCTTTGAATGCCATAGATGCCTTTCTATTTAAATAAATTCTCCCACCCCATCCCAAATGACTGTGAGCAAAATTAATGGAAGAAAATCCATTCTCAAC